GATTGGTAGACTGGCAAATGCCATCGAAGGCGGTCGTTCTTTGTTGCCACGGCATGCGGTGTAACTCATCGGGTGGATGCTGACCTACCTCACTTGCTCGCACTTTGCCTGTTGTCAAGAGACAGATGGGTCGTATCCATCGCGTCGGCTTCGATGGATGTGTTTAAAATAGAGGTCCGAGGGACAATGGCTGGCTGGGTGATTGGTCCAGTCAAAGTTTCGGCCCTTTCCCTTCCCCTTCTCTGAACGAAGATCTTTCGGTGGAATCGCGCAGCCGACAAAATGAAGAGGAGCAGTACGACCTGAGTAGTTGAAGAGTAAAGAGAAGCGTTGGGGGACAATCGATGCGCGCTTTCTGAACAGATTACATACACGCCCCGGATCTGTCCGTCAGAGGTTGTCTTACTACAGTAGCTGGAGAAATAATTTGTTCTCGGCAGCGCGCAGGCAGCTACGTAACAGGTCATCGCTAGAGGTCTGCTGCCTGTTGTCCATGCAACGTTCTGGCGCACATTGCGCCCGTACCGACATCATCGAACCTGATCAAGCGAAACGCTCGCGACACACAGCAGTGTAGTAGCAATTGGTCACAATCCAAGCCGTCAGGCAGCACACCGAAGAAGAGAGCGGCGGTTGGGATTGCGGCGGCGTGGCGGCAGGGACCGGGTCTTGAATTGAAGTTAGGGTGGGTCAACCGCTCGCCATCGTCATAAAGGGACGGAGGAGACAGGGAGCGATCGATCCGTCTCCTTGGTGGTGGCCGGCTCCACACCAAATTATCAGATGCAGCAGTTACCCCTTGTCCGTCTCCAGTGGTCTTCCTTCTTGCCGTCCAATCATCTTTCGATTCGATTGCGGTGTGTAGAGCGCTGCTTCCGGAGACAGGACGGCTCTGCAATGCAACGGACACACTTTCTCGAGCGATAGCGACGTTGTTACCTGCGTACGGGTGTTGCGCCGCTAAGGGCCCCGGTCGAGCGACTCAAAGGGTGTTCGAATCGCGAGTGTTTCTTCGTCCCTCGCGGTGCACCATTACCAGCACCACCACCAGCGTGTTGGTCGAAGTAGTACGAGAATTGTCTCGTTTGCAGCACGTCCACCCGTGCAAGGCGTGGAGGGCAACTGTTGAATTGCAATGCCTGGCGCAACCAGACCCTTGCAATGGTCCAACCGGCACGGCATACAGGGCCTCTACTTTATCCATGCCCTGTCTCGCGACCGTGAGACTCGTCCCTGTTACAAACGCTTCGATTGCATCAATAAAACTTGCCTCGTATTTGTAAACCATCGCACACGTACTCTTACCCCCCCCCACCCCACCCGCGATCTATTGCTTGCAGGATCTGGAAATTATGCTTCCGAAAAACCACAGCGTTGTCGCGGATATGACAGCGTTGCATCACATCCACGAGGCGGGTATCTTGCACAACCTCAAGGAGCGCTCCCGGCCGTGGCGCCAGACTCCGTATACGTGGATGGTGAGTCAGTCGATTGAAAAGATCAAGCATGAAATATCGTTGGTGAGGCGATTGGTTAGAAGAAGAATTTTGTGCCAAAGGTGAATCTGGTGATCACGGCCGTTAATTCACGGTAGATTGTACAATGTACAACTGCATGATGAGTCGATTGAGACAACAAAGATAACAGTTCTGCTCATGTAGTGCCAATTGGGGGACCTGGCGATTGCTCTGTAAAGCGCATTTGTAGGTTGCGTGGGTAGAAGGCTTACCAGAACGAGCGCTTGAAGGGAGGGCGGGGGGGCGGGGCGAACTCTTATGTTTTGCATGCCTTAGCGGTTAGACCATTGACCACGCGTCCTCGAGAGGACGGAGCATTGTTCCCACAGGACCGATCACCGATGGCCAATCGTTCCTTTCTACTTTGCCAAAGGTGGCTCAAAAATGTCTTCCCTAGTCTGTCTATCCTAACGATATCCCTTCCCGCCTTTTCAACCCACCTCCTATGCCCCACTACAGCTACCGTACTCCCCTCTCTATTCCATGCCTCAAACATCTCCCTGTACGTCCCATCTATTTTTCCCAGCTCAGTCACGTACACTTCCCTCTCCTTCTTGTACAACGGACATTCCGCGACTACATGAACACGGTCTTCGCATTCGAAGCCGCAATCACATTTGAACTCGTCGTCTTCCTCTTCTACCGTCCTATGTCTTCGTCGACGTTCTCGANACCCTCCTTATCCTTGGATTCTTTCCTCAGATTCTGTTCTTCTCTCTCGGCACAAGCAACAGATATCTTCTCCTTGAACCCTGTAGGCCCTCCGTTTCCAGCGTTTCATCTTCGTCGATGTTGAACCCCTTTCATACGTCCTCTACAACCTTGACCCAGTCCGTGGGTTGTCTACCCGTCTTTTTGTTTGCCCACTTCGCCTCCCATACAATTCTCGGCAACCTCTCCTCTCCCATCCCGCATATGTGATAGAGCCCCGGTCGCCCCGCTGGTCTAGTGGTATCCTCGTTACCCGCGAGTCGCAGAGGTCGTGAGTTAGACCCCATGGAGTGAAAAACTCACGAAATGTGCGGGTGAAAGCGAAAGATAGCTGACAAGCTCTCGTGAGTACCAAACTTCGACGTTAGCACCGTTGACGAGGAAAAGGAACGGCTGGACCCTTCCCGCGATAAAAATAAAAATTCAGCACACACCGCAGGAGGAAGGTGGGGCATGAAAAGAAATAAAGAGAAGAAAATAGCGCTGGTGTTTACCCCCTCCTGTGTGACCCTGGATGGTTGTAGCTGTGCGAAAAAATACACTGAAAAGTGTAGTACTCTACATGCGCTGAAACGTGTAGCACACGTCTCACCACGAAAAATGGAGGGACTGTCGCCATATTAAATAGGACGAAAACACACACAACACACAAACAACACACTGCCATGTCAGCTCCCTTGCGTCTCTCCCCGACCGCAGGGATTGGATCCCCAATTCTGCCCTGACGGCTGCATTACTTGTGCGCTTGGAGCATCCTAGGATGATTTTCGCTGCTTTCATTGGCACCGCCTCGAGTTCTTTCATACCTTCTTATTTCCTTTCCATACTTCTCCAGCGTACTCTAGCGGCGGTACGATTGCGCTCATCAAAACTGTCATTTTGATGAGTGTATCGAGGTGCCGGTTTGCGAGTGTTGGGTGCAGCTTCCCTGCTCGTGCTTTGCCCTTTTCCGCTACCTTGGATATGTGTGCATTCCACGAGCAGTCTTTTGCGGTCTCTACTCCGATGTATGTGTACTGGTCCACTGCTGCAATCTCTTCGATCCCCCACTTCCATCTATGTTCTACTAGTTCCTCCCTGTCCTCGTTGCATACCATGACGGCACTCTCCTTAACGTTGGCAGACGATCTCCACTTATCCGTAAACTTCTTCGCCGCGTCAATTTGCAGTTGCAGTCCCTCAGGGGTGTCCGACATACCAACAAAATCATCCGCAAACAGTATTCCTGACACCGAAGCTTCCGTGTCCCCTACTTTTACTCCCTTCCGGCCTGCCTCTACGACTTCCAACAGAAGGTGGAGGAGAAAAAATACAATAGCCACAGTGAAGATTCGGATCCTGCATCATTGCTCCAACGATTACGGAGAAAACACGCACGCTTCAGTACCAATGCATCCCTCTCCTGAACTACTGAACCCCACCCCGCTGCCCTTGCAACATCTCTCTCTCTACAAGCATCGTGCATTTGTCTTTCAACGTGATTGTAGTCAAAATCTCTAACCTGCCTGTTTGTGCCCTTTCCTACTTTTTCTTTTTTTCTTCTTGGCAGGGGACGATCTTGCTAGCGGTCAACCCGCTAAAGGCGGTGCCACAGCCACCGATCGAAGACTTCATGAACCGGTCGCTCGATCCGGAGAGACCTCACCCCTATGCCATCGCGGAGGTACGTATAAATGCCGCTTTGTTTTTCTTTCTGTCTTGTCGCACTATATACAAGTATCTTCTATTTGGCGCTTTTTTAACTTGAATATGCCATCGCGGAGGTACGTATTCTTGCCGTTTTTGTTGTTGCGTTGAGTCTTGTATCACAATTTATTTCCTAGTTGTCGCTGTTTTTTCTTGCACAATCTAGTAGGATTTTCTCGGTTGTTGTTGTGTTCCTTGGGCCGTGTCGCGTTTGTTGGATGTGTGCGCCGATGTCACGGGTGTTCTCTTTCTTTTTTTCAGTTTGATATAACGAATCCATCTCTTATCTATAGAAATGAGTCAACGATAGATAAGCGATGAATCCATGGCGTCCGTGGAGGCTGCCTGTATTTCTACGGTTTTCCGAACCGCACACGGCGACAGGTGTGTTTTGTTTGTTGAAGTGTGTTTTCTTCATTCGAGTGTGTGTGTGGTTTCTGTGGTTGGTTTGCATCGAACACGCTTCCTGGTCACGGGGCCCCCTCTGCAAGGGAGTGAGTGCATGGTTGACTAAGAGACACTGTCGGGGGTGGGGAACAGAGGGAGCATGTGCGCAAACTGTAAGATACATCCGAGACACATGCGCAAGCAAGAGCTTCCGGTTTCACCCTGTTCCCTTTGGCGCTCTGCATGGTAAGAATTACGTGCACGACGTGTCCGCTTTTGTTACGGTTCTTCACCGATTTCCAGAGTAACGTTGGCCAAATCCCACCGCTGTGTGCATGATTCCTTTCACAGCTCTCGTACCGACAAATGCGTCTCGCGGGCGGGAGAGCGGGGATGAACCAGTCTATTGTGGTCTCCGGCGAGTCCGGGGCGGGAAAGACGGAGACGGTCAAAATCATCCTGAGGTACGTTCGTACTCGGTTTTCGACGTTGCACAAATTGGACATCATGCCCCATCCCCCGCGCACCGCTTGAGAGTTGGTTTGGCAGTGCTTGTGTACGTCTGTGATGGTGAAAATGTACTCAAGAGGATATGTTCGACCTGTAGACAGCAGTTGCCGCTTTTTTTGAGATTCGAGAACGAAACAACGTTGTCAACAGTAACGACGACGACGACGACATCAAAAACAACCTCGCAATAGCAACATGGACGGACAACATCAACGACACAAGTATACTAGTTCTTGCGCTGTATGCGAAACGACATTGTGAGCATCGATCGCAACAGCAATGGCCACAAAAACCAACGAAACCCACCAACAACCACAGCTACCTGGCGAGGCGATCGGCCGCACCGGACGAAAACCTGGAGCTGAGGGTGCTGGAATCCTCGCCCATCCTCGAGTCCTTCGGGAACGCGCGGACCCTCCGCAACGACAACTCCTCCCGCTTCGGGAAGTTCCTCAAGCTGCGCTTTACGTCCGGAGAGGTGTCCCATCTCGACGGAGCCTCGGTGGAGCCGTACCTGCTGGAGAAGAGCCGCGTCTTGGCCCAGGGAGAGGGAGAACGAAACTTCCATATCCTTTACGAGCTGGTGGCAGGTGCCGTGCAGGACGGGGCCTTGGCGAAGGAGCTCAAGGTGCAGTGCGCCCGTCCGCCCGCTGCCGCGGTGTTGGTTTTGAGAATGAAAACTCGTAGAATTGTCCAACGGCAGGGTCACATCGAATGCGTGCTGCGCGATGAAGATCTATTTGTGGTTTGACCCCTGCTGTGCTGCTTTAGAGAGGCGTGCATGAACTTCATTGCGATGATTTGTGTCTGTTGAGGGGGGGCTGCGCGGAACGGTGCTAGGGGGGCACGGTGCGACGTGCAAAGCGATGGATGATGGATGGATGGATCGATCACCCGTCTGCGTTATGCTTTGGGGGCATGCATGTGTATGGTACGCATGTATGACGAAAGCTTGATTCAGCAACTCTGGTTACTCTGACTTGGGCGTATCTTGCGTAGAATGGCACACAAGTTTTGGGGGGTTTCAATTGTGCGGGTTGGCATGCATACGCAACAGATTCTTTGGCGAAAGGTAACCCTGTAACCCTCCCTCCCCCTCTTCCTACCAACCCACCCGACGTCGCTGCAACCACCAACAGCTGGAGAACGCCACCAACTACCGCATCCTATCGGCTAGCGGGTGCATCACCCTGGAAGGCGTGGAGGACGCCGATCGTTTCAAGGCCATCCAAGACGCCTTTACCACAGTCGGAGTGGAGGAAGACGCGCAGATGCAGGTGCGGCGTTTGCTGTCTTCGTTTCTATATAGCCGTTTCATGTTCGGCGTGTTTTGTGACGGTTGGCGTGTCAGGCGCGGGGAGTGGAGGGGTGGTTGCATTGCCTTTCGAGGGTCGATGGTTGCACGGGAGAGTGGGGTTACACCCCCCCCCCCCCCCCCCCCCC